TCAGGTTTCCTTATCAGCTTTCTTTCTCTCCTGGTTCACAATGACCATTCCAAGCACAAACTTCAGTGCTATCCCTCACATCTCACTATATGCTCTTGCTTCATAATTTATAGATGCATCTCGAGTTATCAATTTAAACTCCCCCAACCTCCTGTCACCAAAGACAAAACTTCCTCCATAGACACACATTCTACTCACATCCTTCTCTCCAAGGGGTAGATGTGGTATTTCTCCTCCTGCCCCTAGCTGTTCCACCCACCTCTGTCAGGAACACTTCCTTTCTGTTCTGCCCTTTCTCAGGCTCTAAACAATATCGGTTTCCCCCCTCCTGTTGTTCAATGCTGACTTGAGCCTGTCATTTGACTTTTAACCACACTCAAGTCTTTCCCACAAAAAAAACAACAAAACCAAATCACTTTACTCAGTCTTCCTTTTCCACCTGCTTATGTCTCTCTCGGTCCTTCACAGCCAAAATACTTGAAGGAGTTGTCCATACTTTCCTCGTTATATGTTCAATGACCACTTCTTAAACCTCGTCATTGTCTGCCTTCCACTTCTGCCATTCTAAAAGCACAGCTCTCTCTGAAGTTACCAGTTATCTCCACATTGTTTAGCACAATGAGCATTCTTCATTTTCATCTTGCTTGGCCTCTCAACAGCATTTGCTGCTCTTAAAAACTCCCTTCATCTTGAAGCACTCTCGTCCCAATCGTGATACGAGAGTTTATTCGTTTTCCTCTTGCCCACTTTGCAGATTCACTGTCTTCTACAAGGACTTCAAGTTTTAGAGAAACTCAAAGCTCTCTCTCCTCTTGGACCTCTGTACTTTTCCCCTGGGCACTGTCATGGACTACAGCTTTCCACTGGAATGTATATCTCAAGCCAGCTCTGCCCTTGCTTGTTTATCAATAATAGCTCAGACACAACAAGTTCAAAATTAAAGTCTGTTATTGTCTTTACTTGGTTGCCTAACTCATAAATAAGACATCACCCATCCAGCTGCATAATTAGAAACAAAAGCTTCATCCTTGACTTTTCTTTATCCCTTCCTTGTCATACCAAACCTATGGCTCTCAAATCCCTTCACTAGTCTCTCCACCAACACACTGTATTTCAAAGGAACCTCACCTCCCACTTCTGCTATGCCAATCATCTCCTAATTGGTGCCACCTTTCTACTCTGATACCCTCCAATCTGTCTTCCACACTGTTGTTAAACTGTCTTCCAAACACAAATTCTATCCTGACATTAAAGATAATATCAAAACTCCCGAACACAGTCCGCATATCTTTGGCCTGAATCCTCCTCTCTCTCTAAGCTCAGTCATCCTTCTGCCCCTCACTCTCACAGAGTTCCTTCGTGAAGAATGCTTTGCACATGCTGCTTCCTCTGCCCTTTTTGCTTTTATCCCTTATTTCACTTCTACTCATGCTTCAGACCTCACGGCAGATGCCAGGTACAGGCCCCTGCAGAAGCCAAAACCCACTTGTCCTTCTACTTCCTGTAATATTTGTCCAGAACGCACATTTGCATTTGGTTCACTGACTATTTAATGGACAACCAATTCTCTGACTACTATCATTCCACAAGGACAGGGACTTTAGCTGCTCTGCATCCCTGGAACTCAGCATGATGCCTGCTCTCAGAGGATCCTGGGATAGACAGTGTATAGTACTGGGACAGAGAGTGAATCCTGCAACAAGACTTGTCCGGGTTCCATCTTACCTCTGTCACCTGCTGACTTGAGATCTTTCTTTGTACCTCTCATCCATTTGATGAGAAGAGGAATACCTGTCCTACATTCCTCAAAGGGTTATTGTGACAGCTAAATGAGTTGATGTGAGCAGAGTGCTCTAGAAGGGGCCCACCTGGAAAGTAAACTAGGTTCTCAATAAATTTTGGCTGCCATAATGATTGCTCATTGAGTGACTAAAATACAACACAGCCTCTAACCAGAATACCTCTAAGTTTCTTTAGCGGTTCTCTACTGCTTAGAGCCGAAGCATCTTAATACCATCTTCTCTTGGAGGAGATTTTCACAGACCATACTGGAAAACTGAAACTAAAATTACAAAATACCATCTTGTTCATTCGATACTCTTTACTGTCCCTATAACTATTATACATGAGCACCATGAGTATTAAATTTCCATTTTATAACAATACATTTCATGTTATTATTTTGATGTTTAGGAAGAACTAAAGAAACTTCATGTTAGAATGTGAAAATTTTGTGCTACGAAAACTCTTACGCGGATGAAATCTGACCTCTTTTCAATGTTCAAATGACCACAACAGTGAAGCACAGAACCCAACCAAGACCTCACTGCCAGGTTCAGGCCTCTTTGCTGCACCATGCTGGGTTGAAATGTTCAGGGGAAAAAATTGTTTTGCATAATACAAACCTTCACATATCTTCTAGCATAAACTGTAGGTAAAGTATTTTAGGCAAAATCATTTTATTTCCAATTTCTATTTTGCTATAATATTTTCATTTTTAAGAAGATACTGGATTTGAGGTCTTTAGAAGCAATCTATACAACTTTAAAATAACCAGGTAAAGAGGCTCATCATTAGAGAAAGCATGACATTCTTAACTAACAAAATTTAAAATGAACACGCAGCTTCTCCACTTACTGCTTTATCTCCCAGAGCGGTTCTGATGCTAAGTCTCACTTTAAAAGCATTTTCTGCATCTGCCAGAAAGAAAAAAGAGCAGTGTATGATAAAATCTGCCCAGACGGAGCCCAACGAATCCTAATATCTAATGCAAATCAAATCAACGGTACACAGAACTGCTAATAAACTGCTCCCCAAATTCCTGGAAGTTTACCTGTAATCACCTCAGATGGTTGAAATTTTTCTTTCAAACTCATAAAATAGCCCAACTTTCAAGCTACAACATGTCTACAGGTTTTGAAAAATAAAGTGGTCTTTCCATCAAAGACTTATCAAACAGTAAAAACTAATCATCTAGTTTTAAGTTTCAGGGCTACCTACCTGGTTGGCAGAGTTCACCATGAATGGCAGTCACCAAGAAAAAGAGCAGCCACAACATTCTTTCAGAGAGGAAAACGCAAGACAAACCGGGGGGGAAAATAATCCACCCTCCACTTCAAGCTGCCTTAGGCATTCTGTGACCCGGATTAGAATAAGAGAAAAAGCAAGCCACCCACCAGCCAGAGGATTAATGATTAATCCCCATCACTTGGGTTAATACTTGGACAGAAGCAGCCCATCTCCTGTCAGTTATTGACAAAAACCTGTTTGGAAAACAGGTTAGCTGTGTTTTGCAAACTCTAGCTTGAAAGAATGTTTCCCCTGCTGACTCAAAGTCAGAATCCCCCGCCCCCGCCCCTTTGTAGTCCCATTAAGTGCATGAGGGAAGGAACTGAGTCCTCTCTGGAGGCTTTGCCTGGTATGAACTTCCCACCTTCTCAGGCCTGAAGTCTCTCTGGCTGACAGAGAAGCCATCTTCATGTGGGAAGCTGATATCACTCCTCTATCTCTGGTGAGCAAAGGCCTGGCCAGAAGGGCCTCACCTGCCTCACACTCCTGCAGGGAACTCCTGGCCAGCTTCCCATTCAAAGGGAATGGTTTGGGTCAGCCCGAAGGGGTGGCTGCTGTGAGAAATCACAGCTGGTGACAGCAGAGCTGTCCATGGAACACTGTGATGGAAATTCTCTACAGCTGACCTCACAGAGTGGCAGCCAGGAGACATGGTGACTGTGGAGCACTTGAAGTGGGGCTGGGGCTGCTGGGAGAGGAATTCTTGATTCAATGAAGCAGCCGCATGTGGCTGGTGAGCACAATGGTCAGTGATGCCACAGAGCAGTAGGCAAGAGCTGCCCACCACACACTAGGTCTGCTGGGTTCTTTCTCTCATCCTCCAAAGAGCACCTCAGTGGTGCGGTTGTCATGACTGTCTTACGGTGAGGAAATCAAGGCTCTGGTGTTCAGGCATTGGTGGCAATGGGAGGAATGAACAGGTGTCACTGGAACCCTCTCTCCACCACACCGAACCGCACTGGTAAAAACTGAAATTGCAGCAAAACCTCAGAGATGCTCTGAGTGAGATAAAGAATGGACAAGACTCCTTCTCTGTGGGCACTATAGAGGCCAACAGAAGCCCCCACAGCGGGTCCATAAATGTCAGGGCTTTCCTCTCTTCTATGCTGCCTCTTCATGCATCTCGTCCCAATTTGACCTTGTTGCTTGAAAACCATGAGTGGGAAAATTAGGTTGGGTGGCCCGGATGTTAATAGGAAGTTTGGATTTTTAAAGCAACAATGAGAAAATGCAAACAATGACACTTCTGCAACACTTTGAGAGTCATACCATTTCCCCCTCCTCCTTAGGGGGTATGTTATCATAGGTGGCCCTGAGGAAGCTTGTTCGCCTTTCCTCCACTTTGGTTGCCAGGGCACAGAGTCAGGAGAAGTTAGACTGGAGGGAGAGGCAGCCAAAAGTTAACTCAGCCACTTTAGAAATTTCACTGTTATCTGGGTAAAATGGAAATTTCCTAGAAGGAAAAGCTCACATAACTAACCCCTGCAAACAAGGACAGACTAGATCAAGTTATCTTGGCACATGTTAGACAAGATAAACTCATCATGGGAAGGAAAAGTCAATAGAGATTGTAACAAAGCTGATAACTGGCATCAGGGAACAAAGCCAGGTTAGAGACAGAAATCCTTTGCTTTAGCCTAAAACTTCATGAAAATATCAAACACCTCTCTTTTGCTTCTACTTCCTCCTCTTTGTAACTAGAGTTGAAGACAGTAACATGCTGAATTGTAGTCTAAGCCATTCATTTCGAGAGAGAAAAGATTTTCCCTTTTAAGTTATGACTTCTCAATGTTTGTTGTCTCATTTTAAAAACAACAGAAGAAAATCACAACACAAATTCTGTATAGAAAATATAGTAAAGTCCAAAACACCCATCATGAACTATCAGAGATGACCAATATTAATATAGTTTAATAGTTGATACACACCTTCCTTAACCTTGGAAATTCTGGCAGGATGCTGTGGTCGCTTTGTCTCATTGGAGCAGCACTATGGAGCAGGATGACGTAATGGGAATATCAGGGACCTTGTTGTCTTCCTCGCTTTAACAGCATTACGGCTCTTCCACAGCATCTGGCGGGTCACATTAAAGGTGATGTGTCATAAGGTACGTCTCCTTTTAGTTCCGTTTACTATCTTCTTTGATCAAGAATTAATGTTGAATCTTATCAACTGTCTTTTCAGCATCTCATAATATGACTCTAGAGTTTTTACCATTTGGTGCATTATATTAATCAATTCCTTACATGGACCCCTTAGATATACTCATTTGGATGATTTTTAACATGCTTCTAGACTTAATTACTGCTTTTTTTCCTAGGGTTTTTAAACTTATTTTCATAGAAGAATATCATGTAGCTAATTCTTTTTTTAAAATATGTTTTCATTGATTTCAGAGAGAGAGAGAGGAAGGGAGAGATAAAAACATCAATGATGAGAGAGAATCATTGATTGGCTGCCTCCTGCATGTCCCCATTAGGGATCAAGCCCACAACTCAGCATATGCCATGACAAGGAATCTAATGGTAATCTCATGGGTTGATGCTCAACCACTGTGCCACACCGGCTGGGTTCAAGTGCTGATTCTTAAAGTTCATTTTTTCCTGCTTTTATACTGCCATCTTGAAAATGTTATAGAAAAATTTCTAATATTGTCTATGTTTACAAATACTTAAAATGCAGAAAAAATACAAAATTCAGAGTTGAAGAAAGTGGATCATTCCTATTTTGGAAGAGTTACAGCAAAAGTTTCATTTCTTGTATTGCCATTTATTATAGGTTTCATATTTCTTTCTGAGTCCATTTTAGCTATTGACAATTTCAAAAATTATTCATTTTATTAAAATTTTCTAGTATTCTCATGGACTATATATGTATGTATATATATATATATATATATATATATATATATATATATTTGCCATTAAAAAATCTACATTCGCCGAAACCGGTTTGGCTCAGTGGTAGAGCATCAGTCTGCGGACTGAAAGGTCCCAGGTTCGATTCCGGTCAAGGGCATGTACCTTGGTTGTGGGCACATCCCCGGTGGGGGGTGTGCAAGAGGCAGCTGGTTGATGTTTCTCTCTCATCGACGTTTCTAGCTCTCTATCTCTCTCCCTTCTTCTCTGTAAAAAATCAATAAAATATATTTTTTTAAAAAATCTACATTCATTGCTTATATTCCTTTATATTTTCTGCTGTGTATTTTTTCTCATTTTCCCATTTTCTTGCCAGAGATTTATCTAGTTTTATTGTTTAATCAAAGAATAAGATCTTGAATTTAATTTTCAATTCTTTTCTTTCTATTTTGTGATTCGTCAGTCTTACTTACATTCATTAAATCCTTACCCCTGTGGTCATTATACTGGCTTTCTTGTTCTTTTTATAACTCTTGAGCTGGTTAATAGGCTTATTTCTTTTTAATCATTCTTAGTTAATAAAGAAAATATCTGTGGTTATTAATTTTCCTTGGAGTATTCTTCTGACACATGACATAAGAAGTATAGATGCACAGTGATCTCATCCTTTTTATCAAAAAAGTCTATAATTACAGTTTTAAGTTTTCTATATACCAGTATTTGCTTAGAAAAGTATTTGACAATTGAGAAAAAAAACACAACAGCCCAAAAGTATATGATTAAAAATATCAACTTTTGCCCTGCCTGTGTGGCCAAGTGGTTGAACATCGACCCATGAATCATGAGTTCATTAATTCAATTCCTGGTCAGGGCACATGCCAGGGTTTCGGGCTCAATTCCCAATAAGGGGTGTTCAGGAGGCAGCTGATCACTGTTTCTATCTCTCTCTGTCTCCTTTCTCTCTCTAAAAATGAATAAAAACATATAATTTTTTTTAAAATATCAACTTTCATGGGTCCAGTCAGGTGAATAGAAAGAGAAATTATAAAGACATTGACTTAAAATATGAACATTCTTAAAAAGGTATGTCTCTCCAAACATGCTAAAATAATTTAATAAAGAACTTGATAGCTCAATAAAACAGGGAGAACACAGAACTAGATACTATTGTTCTTGCCTCTTAAAATACTGTCTTTACTTTCTTATACCTTTCAAAATCTTGTATCTACTTAGTCTTTATTTTCATGTACAATTTTAAGTATTAAACCTGAGAATTCAAATCAAACTTGCTTCATACAATGCTCATTTCAGCAAATCCACATATTGGCGCCTAATGCCTTATTAGTAGCCATGGTAATAATGACAAGTAAAGCAGTTTCAATCATTCTGAATATGTTACTATTGACTTTCTTTTTTAAAAATTAAGTCTTTATTGTTTGAAGTATTACATACGTCCCCGTTCCCCCCCCCCCCATTGACCTCTCCCATCCCACTCCCACTCCCAACCCCAGGCCTTGCTATTGATTTTCAATGTCCCAAGCTTAGAGAGCATAAATAAAAGGTTGAGATTGTTGTTGCCATGAGCAATAGTAAACACAGAGAGTCTCTTGAGACAGGAAAAAGAAATTGATTTTTCCACGGTTTTACATACTCCACAACGGTATTGAAAAGCAGTTTCGCCAAAACCTGTTTGGCTCAGTGGATAGAGCATCAGCCTGCGGACTGAAAGGTCCCAGGTTCCATATCGGTCAAGGGCATGTACCTTAGTTGCCCCTACATCCCCAGTTGGGGGTCTGCAGGAGGCAGCTGATTGATGATTCTCTCTCATCGATGTTTCTAACTCTCTGTCCCTCTCTCTTCCTCTCTGTAAAAAATCAATAAAATATTTAGAAAAAAAAAACCAGTTTCTCAGCACATAACTATTGATCTACTGCTCAGGAGGGTAAATTAAATATGAGATCACGTGAAAACATGTGGGTTGTTCTTTTCAGTCATGTGAGATGCCTTTTAATGATCACCAGAGCTATAAAAGCATGTGGGGATATATATGCTCCATTTACCTTCAATAAAACAAGAAGTAGTAAGAACCAATGTTGCTTTTAAAACTTAACCTCAATTATTGTTTCATCACCACATACAGGTATTCATAAAACCCTAATACCTGAAACTAGTAAACTGTGAAACCATTTCAAATATAACTTTACTCTGCACATTTTATTGGGGTTTGAGAAATGTACCCAGCTGTGACACATTAAAAGAAATCAAACCTTGAATAGCTGAACATTTTGTACCTTTAAAAACTGTTGGCTCTACTCATTCATTTTCTAAAACTTGTAGAATTTTTAATAAATATGAAATTTATTTCATTTAAACTGAAATGAAATTGATATGCTATAAAAACAGTATCAAGATGTTTTATAGTGCCATGACCGATTTGGCTCAGTGGATGGAGTGTGGGCCTGCAGACTGAAAGGTCCCAGGTTCGATTCCAGTCAAGGGCATGTAGCTTGGTTGCAGGCACATCCCCAGTGGGAGGTGTGTAGGAGGCAGCTGATTGATGTTTCTAGCTCTCTATGCCTCTCCCTTCCTCTCTGTAAAAAATCAATAAAATATATTTTTTCAAAAAAATATGTTTTATAGTAATTAATCTAATATTTTCAGTATAATTAGAAGGTAAAAATTATTTTTCTCTTTAAATTTTCAGTGTTGCCGAAACTGGTTTGGCTCAATGGATAGAGCATCAGCTTGGGGACTGAAGGGTCCCGGGTTCGATTCCCGTCAAGGGCATGTACCTTGGTTGCGGGCATATCCCCAGTAGGGGGTGTGCAAGAGGTGGCTGATCAATGACTCTCTCTCATCGATGTTTCTAACTCTCTATCTCTCCCCCTTCCTCTCTGTATAAAATCAATAAAATATATATTTTTTTTTCAGTGTTAAGGTACATGGGAAGATAAAGTATTTTGTCTATTGTGAAAAATACTATATTTTAATTCAATGGTTGTCAATGGAGGTGGGGGGGTGGATTTTTTTTTCTTACAGAAGACATTTTGGCAACTCAAGACATTTTTGGTTGTCACAAATGGGATAGAGGTGCTACTGGTATCTGTTGGTTAGATGATAGGGATGCTGCCAAACATCCTACAAACCTTAGAAATATCTTTTAGGCCTTTCTATAGTACCTTTCTGCTCCTTATCTTTGAGTTAATGGAAATAACTGACAAAAGGAAGAACAAGAGATAAAAGGGAACCAAATGTGTGTGTGTGTGTGTATAAAATCAAATTTTAACATCATATGTTTCATGTTCTGAAATTATTAAAATAAACTCGTCTGTTCCACATTCTGAAATTATTATTAAAACAAACTCATTTATCTTTTTATTATGATGGCTAATAAGAAAGAGCAATTGCCTGGTTGCCGGACCCAGTCCAATGGCCCATGATTATTAAGCAGACATCTAAAGTGCACTATCACTGAACGATGTTTCTGCATTCCACTGCCCTTCTCCTTATCATTTACAATGGAGTCATTTCCACATGAAATCTTCATTAGCACCTCTGTGCCTATGTCAGAGAATCCAAACTCTTAAATTCCTTAAGATCTGAAGCTAAGTTGGGCTTTTCAGAGTATCCCCATTCAAGCCGCTGCTCCATCCTCCTCTAAGCCATTCTGCCAGCTACTCCCTGCAGGTGGGCTACATCCTCCCTCTGATCTTTCTGCGTGTTCTCTTCACACTACAGTATTTCCTTAACTTCAATCCTGGGAGCTTTCTCTTTTTTTATTTTGCAACTTTAAACATATTAGCCATTTTTACAGGCCTATCTCAATATCATTTCCTTGGAGAAAACTTTTAGTTTTTGTTATACATTTTTATTTGTTGCAAACTTGTCCAAACTATTTTCTATTCTCTCCTCCTACATTCTTATAGCATTTTGTTCACAGCCACACATGCATTTATTGCTGACATGATATACTTCTGTATCTTACAAATTTTAAGTTCCTGGAGAGCAGAGGCTATATTTGGTTCGATTCTACGTTTCTCGTGCCCCTTGAATAGTTGATAATTTAATAAAGCTGAATTGACTTATATAAATTATAAACTGACATTGTAAGTAGCTTGAGACTGAAAATAAAGTAACTGAGGTACACTGCAATTTGTTTTTACATTCTTGGCCAGAAAAACAACCACTTCCTTATCAGTGATAAACAAAAAATCTTGTGCCTTGGAATATTTTTGTTTCCACTCCCCTATTTTGTGCCCTTTTTAAGATGAGGGGAGAAAATCTGAAAGTTCAGCACATTTTGAGGGTTAATCAAAAGCCATAACCATTGTGACCTTTGTCACTTCTTTTTCACAGGGCAACATTTTTCTAGTTCAGAGAAAGTTAATCACTACTGTGTGGAAATAAAGATTAATTCAGACAAACCGAGTGAATGTATTCCTGCCAACTTAATATTCCGAAGGTAGGAACTTAAAGGATACTTTCTTAAACAGAATGCATGCGTGTATGTCTTCGTGCCTCATCTTGTACATGAAGGCCAACACATTAAAATGGGTTCTGTGTAGTAAAAGCAAAACTTGACTGACATTTCTTCCTAGATGCTTAACTGTTTCCAATATTGTTGGGTTGTTATACAAAAAGAATACTCAGTTGGGTAAGCCGTGATTTTTTTTCTAGGCTAAAATTATTGCAGCCATGCTCTATAGAGTAGCATTTTTCATCCTTAATCTTCTATTTGGCTGACAGTCACCCAGCCAATAGGTACTTCCTTTGCCGACCTCTATAAAGAGGAGGAGGGGCCCTAACTGGTTTGGCTCAGTGGATGGAGCATCGGCCTGCGAACTCAGGGGTCCCAGGTTCGATTCTGGTCAAGAGCATGTACCTTGGTTGCGGGCACATCCCCAGTGGGGGAGGGGGGGTGTGCAGGAGGCAGCCAATCGATGTTTCTCTCTCATTGATGTTTCTAGCTCTCTATCCCTCTCCCTTCCTCTCTGTAAAGAATCAATAAAATATATATTTTTTTAAAAAAGAAGTGGAGGGGTTATTTGGCCTTGTGTCTTTTTGGTTAGATGTTCTCTTTTTCATAAAAGAATCTTATACTAACCTTGTTATGGCTGACGTACAAAATATATCAATTAATCAACATACCAAAGTTTCTGCCCTTAAGTTTGGCTAGCAATAAGGACCTTGATCCTGCTATTGTGTAAAAGTCATCAAACGCCTATAGAAAAAAAATGTTGTTTCTGAGGACTGTCTAAAGACATGCATGCTAGACCTCCATTACTACAAATCTGACATACCAGATAGATTGTTGCAGCCTATCTGGCGTGTCAGATGCACCCACCACAGACTTTGTTATTTTATTAGAGAACATTTTCCTTCTGAACATAGACTTAGTCACAGAACTTCCACAAGCAGCCGAAACCGGTTTGGCTCAGTGTTAGAGCGTTGGTCTGCGGACTGAAAGGTCCCGGGTTCGATTCCAGTCAAGGGCACGTACGTTGGTTGCGGGCACATCCCCGGTGAGGGGTGTGCAAGAGGCACCTGGTCGATGTTTCTCTCTCATCGACGTTTCTAGCTCTCTCTGTCTCTCCCTTTCTCTCTGTAAAAAATCAATAAATTTAAAAAAAAAAAAAAAAAAAAAAAACTTCCACAAGCAGTGGACATGTGAGTTGAAACTTACTTGCCATAACGGGGAATGGTGATCTATTGTAAATGCTGCCCAGAATCAAACCTGTGATCTCAGACGAAAAGGAAGTTTGGGAGTGTCATAGAATTGCTTTAATGCCCTGTGCTTTGTGACTGTGGCCACGGTTTACATTGAGAGTTTCTACATAAAACTCTTACCATGCTTTGTTTCCTACTTAGTTCTCCGTATCATGATGAAGAATCAGGATTTCCCTTGAGACTAAAAGTCAAGAAAAATTATGCTTCTCAAAAAACAAACGGACATGGACCTGAAGGGCATCATGCTAAGTGAAATTACGTCAGACAGAAAGACAAATACCATACAATCTCATTTATATGTGGAATATTAAAAAACTAACAAAAGCAAAAAAAAAAACACCAAAAACTCAGATATGGAGAAGAGACTGGTGGTTGCCAGAGGTGGAGTGAGGGATGGGATTTGGGGAGGGGGGGTTGAAGAGGGTAAAAAGGTACAAATTTCCAGTTGTATAAAATAAGTAATGGGATGTAACATACAGCATGGCAACTATAGTGAATAAGACTGTATTATAGATCTGCAACTTGCTTGGAGTAGATCTTAAAAGTTCTCATCACAAGAAAAAGAATCTGTAACTATGAGTAGTGAGATGTAAGTAAACTACTCTCACTGTGATCATTTCAACATATACACTACTATCAAATCATCATGTTGTACACTTGGAACTAGTATAACATCATATGTCAATTATATTTCATTTTTTTAAAAAAGACCAGCATTTGCCAAGTCTTTTCCCACCTATTAAACAACCCCCATATTACACCTTCCTTAACTTTCTCATCAAGTCTTGTTCCAGCCAAACTCAAGGGGGGGAACTTCAGGCTGTAAGCTTCTTGTGGTTTTCTTATTTGTCACTGGAACACATGCAATTTAAACTAATGAATAGCTGAATGGCTAATGGAAAGTGCCCTGCCCCCAGGAGTGCCCGTTCAAAGATTTAGGGGCAACGGGGGGGGGGAAAAAAAGCTGGTAATAACCGCTTCACTTTTTTGTGGACCCAGCACTGTAACTGGAGGGAGTAAAGATTAATTTCAGAATAGGGGGCCGTAGGCAGAGGGTTAAGTGTGATACTGTCTCCATGCGCCCTACACACAGGATGCCTGGGAAAAATCATCTGAAGGCTCCATCAGGAAGTAGAGGAGCTTGCTGACTCCTTGCAGTTGCCTGGCACTAAAGGTCAGCCTGGGGACCAGTAGGAACACAGTTCCAGAAGGTTCCCAGTTATGTTTCTGATCCGGATTCTGCTCAAAGGGGTGGTGTTTGCAGCTGGGAGAAATATGAAGTCAATTACTAGACGAAGATCTAGGGTCCCCAGGCCTGTTCCATTATATTAAGGTGACCAGATTTTAACATTGGTAAAGCAGGACACCATTGATTGGGGGGGGGAGGGTTTGATTAAAAATTTGGTCTATATGGAGCAACAAAAATTTTCATAGAACGCAAAAATATATTTTTTAAAATTTCAGCATAAGTACAATTTACAAATGTAATAAATAAATAAAAATTATGTATAGTATTATTTTATTCTTGGGCATATTTCTCATTGAGTGAATTTTTTTAGATTGCTGTTGTTGTTTAAAAGATCATGAAAATTTTCACAACAATTTGTTAAATTATATTTCACACATAAAATGGCTTTCAAAGTCTCAACACTTAATTGTGATTTTTCTGATGCCCACACTTTATTTACCGTAGAAAAAACGCGTTCAGTCGCAGCATTAGTTCCTGATGAGGATAGCGCGTATTCCACAATTCTAACAACTGATCAACAATGCGAGCTTTGATAAGCAGTTCTCGATAATCAGTTCTCACCAATTATTTGTTATTATTAAAGTTTAACATTATAAAATTAACAAAAATAATATAAAACTCGTATCCTGGCTAAATAGCCACATGGCCGCCGAAAACCGTATATTCCCTTCCCGTTCTCCCACCGTTCCCTAGCTTGTCCTGCATTCTTTCCAAAAATCGGGACTTTTTTAAATCGCCGCGGGACGCGGGACAAATTGTTCAAAAGCCGGACGTCTGGTCACCTTAATTATATCAATGCCTCTGACTTCTATGTAGCTCTGAGACCTGAAAGCTTTTCTCTGCAAACTCGCGGGCCCCGCCCATCCCTCCTTGGCTTCCCGCGACCAGACTCCACCGGCGGGGGGAGAGCGGGAGGCAGGAGAAGCGGGGGGCCTGGGAACGCAGGAAGAGGCCAAGCCTGAGTGTAGGAAAAGGCGCAGGAGCGGGATGAGCCTGGCCAATGGGTCTTGGTATCCAGGACAGAACGTGGGAACTGGCCAGGACAGAGGGCATGGAGCGCAGGAGGGAAGAAATTCCACCCGGAACCGAGGGGCGGAGCCAAACCGGGGGCGTGGCCGCTGCCTAAGATGCCGGGAGGGTCACACTCCGGAACAGGAGTGACTAGAGTTAAAAGCGGGGACAGGGCACAAGGACAGACGCGGAGTGAACCCCCATAGAGAAGGGGGGCCGCGGAGGAGCGTACGCACGTACGCAGGGACGTACCCTGAACGTGAGGGCGCGCCCGGTCCGTGGGGCGTAGCTTTGCTGCCCTCAGAGGCGTCGCGAAAATAGTCCCGCTGGAGGTTTGAGCATGGAGGAGGGTAGGGGCGGGGCCAAGCTAGCGCGCAGGCGCTCATGCCCTTAGGGGGCGTGGCCAAGGCGTGGCTCCAGGCACTGTTGGGCGGACCGGGCGTCAAAGGAATAAGCGACTTGACGTAACTGGCGTGAGGGGCGTGGCGAGGCGTGAGGGGGCGTGGCCAAGATGGCCGCCCCCATGAACCTCATCCCGGTAGCCAGTGCAGGGGTTTGTGCTCAGAGTTTGGGTAAGGTTCCCGGGTGGAGCGTGGGCAGCAAGGGGACGTGGCCTGAGAGAGAGGACAGGGACCCTCTCACACCCACGGCCACGCTCTGCGAGGCGTCCCGGAGCCGGGATAGCTATTGACCTCGGGAGGCTGGCCACCTTCCCGGCGGGAATTCTTTGAAGAACGGTGGGGAGGAGGCAGGGAATCGCCCCTTCCTTCTCTGACCCTGTTCCTCCACTGCTCGGACAACCGCACCCCCTTAGACTTCTGACCATTGAGAAGCCGAACAGCTGAGGGTGTTAAGAGAGCAGAGCGCCTGCAGAATGGCTTCTCTGTGAATAACGCACCCAACAGCAACTTGGGCTTATTCTTCACGGGTGGCAGGATACTATGACTTTCCTGTGACATTACGCCCTGTACATGAAAAAAGTAAAAATAAAACAGCTGTCCCAAAGAATTGGGGTGCTGGCGGGTGTTGCAGTTGCAGAAACAAGGAGCCTGTATCTGGGTCTCACTCTGACTTGCATTGTTGATCCTTCCCCGAAAGATTCACAGCCACTCCCAGAGCAGAAGGTCAAGTGGCATAGCAGTGCCATTAGGGCTACCTGAGCCTTACTCTACTCCTCAATTCTCCCTTCTTTCCTTTTTTGTACGCCATCCCAGGAGCTGGAGGGGAAGAAACTACAAAATACAAACGTTGTTGGTGCCTATGATTGCTTGTGGCAGGAGTTAAAAACTTTTGCTTGCCGAAACTGGTTTGGCTTAGTGGATAGAGCATCAGCCTGCAGATTGAAAGGTCCCAGGTTCGATTCCGATCAAGGGCATGTACCTTGGTTGTGGCTACATCCCCAGTAGGGAGTGTGCAAGAGGCAGCTGATCGATGATTCTCTCTCATCGATATTTCTAACTCTCTGTCCCTCTCTCTTCCTCTCTGTAAAAAAATCAATAAAATATATTTTTAAAAACTTTTGCTATAAGGCTCCTGGAAACTCGTTCTTATAATCTGTGTAATCCCCACCCACCGTTACTTTTGTTGAGAAATATGGGGAGGTAAGAAGATGTGTTCATCTTAATTTAGGTAGGATTTATTATCTGTCAGACAGTGAAAACCATAGTGCTTTTTGCTTTCTCTTCTTCCTTTACTTACAATCTGGGTATATCCTCTTTGCTATTTCAGAGTCTTGCTGCAATATGGCGAGAAGTTGGAAATCTCTGGTGGGAAGCTGCCCGGCAACCCTACACATAATCTGCCCCTGCGTATCCCTCACTCAGAAAGGTTACTGTTCTCAGCCTGCATTGGCAACTGCAGCGAACCAACGTTCATCCCATCCACCTTCCCTTCTGGGCCCTGGTAAGGGACTGCACTGTTCTCGTATGTTTTGTAAATGAAAGCCTTTCCGCTTTCTAGAACTTTCCTCAGAAATGGTCAAGTCAGTACCAGGACTGAAATTCACCTCAAGGCAAAATTCAGCAAAGGTACCATTCCTGTGCCGTGTACACACCTGCCATACAAAAGCTTACCACCACTCATAGTTGGAACACAGTAATGAAGTGCATTTTGCCAGAAGGTGAATATTGTGAAAATATGATGGAAAGAGGAAAGTGCATTTCATATCCGAGGCGGCACGGGGGTGGCACACAAAACAGGTTAAGAAATGTATTTTGAAACCTTAGGCAACCCCAGATTAGGAACCTACTCTCAGGAAAAAAAGTGGGTGAAAGGAGGAAGCTCAGCTTTCTCAGTTAGGACATGGAAGCATAAGGTCTCCTTTAAATTTCAGAGAATTGCAAGAGGCTGACTTTCTTTCTATATCAGGAGATGAGAAAATGAAGAGTCAATCTGATGAGAATCGAGGGATTTTTTTTCATAACCTTTAGTAGGTACTTTTTTTGCTATCTGTCATATGTGTATATATATGACAGTTCAAGAGCTGAGGCATTTAATAAATGCGTGATTTTACAAGGCTGTTAGAATCTTCTTTCTTCACACATTTCTAAGTCTGCAAAACAGAAGAGGAATGTGTAAGTAAAATTTAATCTCATACATAAATAAGCAGTGATAGCAAAGGGCATGTAGCATAGAAAGCTTACCTTCCCTGTGACCTATCCAGCCTATGGTCCCATCTTTCTGGACAGATTTAAGGACAGATTGTCTGTGAAATCCAGCAATGTAGGTTATTGGTTCATTGTTGTCTGCTATGTTTGAGGATTAACATTATTTGTGGTTTTATAATCTTGGTTTTTTATGAGCTACGTGAGTTAAGTTTAAATAACCACTTCTCGATAAACTATTACTTTTCATTTAAGAATTGTGATTGGCTTTAGGCAGCAATGCTGACCTTGTACAGTATTTATCTTATCTCTGAAGTGTCTTTCTTTTTATGTCTTGGTGCATAATTTTGTTCTTAAAGCTAAAAGGCCATAGCTGACTTGCAATTACTGAATGTCTCAGACAAGGTAAGCATTATTTTATCCTAGAGGTCTAGTACATGAAATCTGTGTACTGGTAGGGTCCCTAACCGCTGCCAGCCAGGGCCTCACTTCCCTGCCTGCCTACTGCTGCCATAGCCAGCTGGTGTGGGTCCAGCCGGTGGGAGGGGCCAATGGCAGTTGGCTGGCCAGCCTTGGTCAAACTCCCCATCGAGGGAACAATTTGCATATTAGGGTTTTATTATATAGGATATTTGAAATCCTGTTGTTTTAAATATGTGCATTTGAGAAAGGGAAGTATTTATGGTCTAAAATTTTATCCAATGATCTTTGCTGGTGTGGCTCAGTGGTTGAGCGTTGAACTATGAACCAGGAAGTCACAATTGATTCCCGGTCAGGGCACATGCCCAGGTTGCAGGTCAATCCCCAGTTGGGGGCTTGCAGGGAGCAGCCAATCGATGATGCTTCTCTCTCATTGATGTTTCTATCTCTCTGCCACTCTCCCTTCCTCTCTGTCTCGAAAAATCATTAAGAACATTTTTTAAAAAGTAAAAGCAGAGTAATTCATCTTAAAATAAAAATATAAATTGCTAGAGCATTGCAATTTGTTTTTTTTAAAAAGGAATTCATTACTAATGTTAATTAGTTAAACCTATTGCCTTGAAACTGCTTCATTCATATATTTTGAGAGTGTATTTATTTCCTCCACATTGACCATGTTTTCATTAAAATGAACTGCCCAGAGTTATAATACATTTCTGGGTGCTGTGTGTGGCTTCCGACCACCAGGCCCGCATCCTACCCAGTTTCAACTCTTGGCTTTTGAGGCTTAAATTGGGGGGGAAATAGTGATATTTATCTGGTTAATAAAGTTTTACTTTTCTTTCTTTTTTTAATACATTTTATTGATTCTTTACAGAGAGTAAGAGAGAGGGATAGAGAGTTAGAAACACCGATGAGAGAGAATCATCGATCAGCTGCCTCCTGCACACCCCCCACTGGGGATGTGCCCACAACCAAGGTTCATGCCCTTGACCGGAATCGAACCCGGGACCCTTCAGTCTGCAGGCCGACGCTCTATCCACTGAGCCAAACCGGTTTCGGCAAAGTTTTACTTTTCTTAACAGAAAATTGAAAGGTATAAGTCTAAAATCCAATATGCTCAGACCTTTAAGATAGTTTTCTTTCTTTTTTTGCTGACATAAAAAAAAAGTAGTGCTGGCTTGGGGAAATGAGACTTCCCTTGATTCAATTCCCACATCAGATATTCTTGTATGTAAGTTGCTAAGGAAAACAGGTGACGGTCAGCATTTGATTTTGCTTTTGTCATATAACACCATCCCTCCCCGTTTGTACCCACGAAGGTCTCTGCTGCGCTGGGCCAGTGAGCATGTCTTGTGCTGATAGCTGGTATAAAGAGAATCCTCATTGTTTGTGGCAGCTCAGTACCCCGGCAGAAGACCCAGTGTTCACTTGTGACCAAGAACGAGTGACCCAAGAATGTTGGAGGTTAGCAGAGATAACTAGCAAGTCCTTAGCTGTGCCTGCCGCAGAGAGGACTCTCTGTTGGTGGCTATTCTGGTCCTGGGATTATAATTATAATCCTCATCACCACCTTTCTCATCATCATAGGCTCAGTGTCTCCCTCATGTGTTTCGGTTTGACCATTTTTAGGATGGGGCGAAGCAAATTAAGCTGTCTATGAAGGAGGAAGATATGGCACATTCAGAAAGTAGCATTTCACTAGAGCCCTGTGTTCTTTGCTTTACTGTCACTGCCCACCCCCGCCCCCCAGCTAATCACTGGCTATAAACTCAAATTGCTGTTTGCTGTTATCTCAAGTAGCAGACAGTAAATGTTGACAGTCTTAACTTGGGGCACTGGTACCATGATAAAATGAAGATAAAATCCTTGCACCTGTTACCCAAGATGGAAATAAAATCAGTTTCACTTAGTGTACTTTCCTGTGAAATTTAGACTAATTGTCACATTAAAGTAATTTAGGCATGAGATCTTAGACCGTGAAAAAATACATTTAATTATGTTAATGCTTAATTTAATGAAATGCAAAGACTACCATTTAGAGTGGAAATAGTACAGTTTTGTTACTAGTCCAATGATTCTTGTCATGGTCTCCTTACTTTTAGAAGGAAGAGAAACGTTTCTTTGTAGAACAACTTGGAATAGACTGGTACTGTGTAAATGTAGCCACTAGCTTCATGTATGTATTTACATGTAAATATAAATTTATTACAATTGTATAGCCACATGTGGCTAGCACTTACCAAATTAGAAATGTCCATTGTTAGAGGAAGTTCTGTCTGACAGGACTGGTCAGTATTATAACTTAACTGTATTAGAAAGTTGTTCTAGCCAAAACCGGTTTGGCTAAGTGGTAGAGCGTCGGTCTGCGGACTGAAAGGTCCCGGGTTCGATTCCGGTCGGGGCATGTACATTGGTTGTGGGCACATCCCCGGTAGGGGGTGTGCAGGAGGCAGCTGGTCAATGTTTCTCTCTCATCGACATTTCTAGCTCTCTATCCCTCTCTCCTCCTCTCTGAGAAAAATCAATAAAATATATTTATAATTAAAAATAAATAAAAAAATAAAAAGAAAGTTGTTCTATATTTCCCCATTTAATTGTGAAGAGCACAAATAATGCTTGGAGAACAATAGTATAGGAAATGCTCACTTACACGCATGGATGGGTTCTTGGAAACTGTGACTAACCAATTTTATCCTAGGCTCATTGGTATAATAAATAAGAGTTACGTTTCTATGGCATATTTCTGTATATCAATGAGCCTATAGTAAAGTTGGTTGCCTTATAGGTCATTTTGCTTAAAATTGCAACTTCCAAGAACAATGTTGAGAATTTAACTTTATTGTATTTATATTACTGTTCTCTTCGCAAGGAATTCTGTCAATCCCCAGGTGATTTAGGTGAGGACACCCAGCCTCTGTTGTCTTTCATTCACTTTCAAGTAGTCATG